CTAAAGCTCTTAAATCTAATAAAGCAAAGACTTTGTGATTTATTGATCCAAAAGAAACTTCTATTATAAAATAATATGAAAGATTTGAAGAAAAAATAAGACCTTCATTAGGTGTTACATAAGATTCCAATTACATGGTTCCTATTATAGTATAAAAAACTTATTTTTTAACATATCATCTTCTTTAGCAACTATGCTCCTTATTTTGTGATTATGTTGTTTCTTTGGATGATTTTGAGAAGTGTGTTTAGGTTCTTCATAATATAAGTACAATCATTTTTGACAACATTGAATATTTTCTTATTCAATAAGATATTTAAAACATATCATATCAATTTGCATAGATTTCAATCTTAATGAATAAGCTTCTGCAAACTTAGAAGTTGTCACTACAACTTGACTTGTATCTCTTCAATTAGACCTTTGTTCTTGGCATCTTTCAAAGACTTGATTCTTGCATGTAATTGCTTGAGCAATAAATTGCTCTAATGAATCTATTCTTGACATTATCAAAAATAAATCTTTGGCATTGCCTTTCAATGTATATTAAAATTGATTAATAAGGACGTTGTCATTTTAATCTACGTTACAAACAAGGTTTTGGAATTTTGTAGTATATATGGTTGTTGAGCATGATCTTTCATAAAGATTGGAGTTTGGTCTCTACTACCTTTTTTTAATCACTTTCTCTAAATGTAGCCACGAAGACTTATAAGAATTAATTAAGATTATAAAAGAATTATGAATCTTTTTCCATCAAATGTCAAATCAAGAAAAAGCACTCTTAGATAGACATATACTTATGAATCTAACTTGAATAAATCCATTGGAATATTGGAAAGAATACAATCTTAAAAAGAACTTCACTTGTTATAGAAATCTTTGAAACTTTAAACTTATTTTGTCAAACTTCTATGGCATATTTATCCTTGTTTCTCTCATATTTATAGAAATAAAGCTTCTTACATTCAATTGTAAATTTAATCTACTTGCTTCTTTTAATTTCACAACTTCTTAATATAGAGTTTGAACTTCATTATTAACTTCTTCAATAAGTGTAGAAATAGTACTTCCATAGTTCATATTAAAAATATGTGAGATTTTGATCCTAAGAGTATTCAAAAGCTTCTAAAGATGTACAATAATTGAAAATCTATTTTCACTTATTTTGTGAGTAGCATCCATAATTTTTCCTTTTATAGATGATTCAAATAAATTCACAAGTCAAATTAGAGGAGGATAATTTGTAACCTCTAATATCAAATAAAAATTCCTACAAATAAAAGTAGTCTACTTTCTTTGAAGAAAATAATTAGTATTTAGAAAACTAAAAGTTATTCTTAAGGTCGTAGTCCACAACCTTTAAAATACAATAATAGATGTGACATAATCCATTCACTTCTAAAAACAAGAACAAAAACAACAAATTAATACTCTTATCAAATTATTAAGATTATGAATTTCAAAGAATTAAAAGATGAATAAATTTTTGTGTCATTCAAAAAGATAAGAAAATTACTCAAAAATGGTATAATATTAAACTTAAATGGCTAATGTCAAAGACAAGAAGATTAGAAAGTCTTAAAACAAATCTAAAGATTAGATAGTCATTAATAAGATTGAAGAAGGCTTTACTCTTGAATCCATATATATTATTTAACTAGGAGTTATAAAACAACAATCTATATGTGTCCAATTTATAAGACTTGTGTTTTAACTTGCAAGACAAGTTTCCTATTAGCACACCACATTGTTAGCTTGTACCTCAAACTACCTACACATGCAAAATACAGCTAATTTGTTGGCTAAGTTTCTAACTAACCAATTAACCATAAATATGAATAAAGTCAATTATGCATCTATGAAGCTTCTAAGAAGCTTTGCTACAAGATAATATTAAAGCTATCTATATTTACCTTCATTATAATACTTCTTATCTAGATAAGTATGTCCATGACATCTTTATAAGATATGGAAGTTTGATTATAATCAATAAAAAATACAAAATTATTTTCTAATATACTAATACTATCAAAAATATTACAATTGTTCAATTAATAGTTTAAATTTCACATGTAAAAAATCAATTAATTTTGTATATTTAAAAATAGCATGCATGTAAAGAAAAAATAATTTTAATTATTGCTTGCCATTATAGTTAAAAGTTTAGATGTCTTGAAATACTTGCATTTACTAAGTGCATCAAATTTTTAAATCTTAAAAAATATATATATAGCACTATTTTTTTTTTATAAATAAAATTATTAATCAAATAAAATATTATAGATCTAAATATCGTATTATGCAATGATTTTTTAAATTATAGCAAAAATTTGATAATATGTTTTTCTTTTCATATTAGATATGTTAAGTAAAGAAATTTAAAAAATAATTCATATACAAGCATTATATGTTTTTTTGCAATATCTATTAAAAATCTCTATTTCATTAAAAAAAATCTAAAATACCTTAGAATAATAGCTAATGTTTATGTTTTATAATTAAAATGATATTTCTTAAATCACTAATATTATTGATTAAAAAATATAATTAATAAAAACTAAAAAAAATTTAAATAAAAAAATCACAACAACAACAACAACAAGTAGAGTATATTAATTATTGTAAATTATAGCCATGTGGACTATTAATTTTAATCTAATTTCTCATCAAAAGCTATGTTTTAAATTAAGATAAATTAATTATATGTTCTGAAATAAATAGTTAAAATATTACTAAAATTGTATAATTTCTATTTTTATGTAGTAGTCAATTTTACAATCTGTGACACAAATAACTTATGTATGAAAAAATATTAAAAAATAAAAAAAATACAAAAATAGATATAATTAAAAGATTATAGTAATAAAAATAATAATAAAATATTAATCAATATTCATAATTTGGAACTTTTTGAATTTAAACAATACATTATATTTAATTTCTAAAAAGAGTGTTTTTAAAACATGTATTGCATATGTTTTTACTCTTATAATTTGTTATGAAGGTACTACAATGTTATAAATTTGTACTGGGGCTTTTTGGTTCTAATCTTATGTGGTTATTGCATTTCTGTTAACCGAAATTGAGATCTTGCTGACATTTGAGTGATTTGTAATTTAATTAGTTGTAAATAATGCAATAAAATACATCATTTTTTGTTATTTCACATTTTGATGTTTTGAAGTCATTAAATAAAGTCATTGAATTTTTATAGTTAGTAAATGGAGGAATTATCATATTAGAAAACATAAGTGATTTATATAAAATGGTATGATTACCTAGCATCTGTAGGCACTTATTTTTTTAATAGCCTTGTAAGTCCTGATCAAATTTTAAATCCCATGCATGTCAATTAATAAATTTGAAATTAAGTTGATACTTGCTCTACACAAAATGTAAAATATAAAATGTTCAAGTTATGTCCAAAAATTGTTAAAATGTAACTTTTCAAAAAGTTATCACATTTCTAAATTAGATACAAACTTATTAATAATACCTAACTAATTTTTTTGCTATATTTACATCTCTAAAATCACAATTTTCTTAATTTCCTCTAATTTTGCAGCAAATATAATTTCTTCTAACCTCAATTGCAATGAAAAGAACTTTTATTTTCATTTTTTTTTTTTTTACAAAGAATAAATCTAAGAAACTAGCTATGTATCATCCATATTGAAAATTCTTTGGAAACTAAATTTAATGCCATATAATATCCATAATATAAAGAAAGAATTGTTAGCAATATATCCAATGTGACCTCCAAAAAACTTAAATTGACTAAAAAGCTAACTTCTATGCTTAGGATACATTTGGGAGACCAATATTTAATCCCAAAGAAATTAAAAAATAAGTTTTTTTAATTTTTTGCAACCAAATTAATTAATACTCTTACTAGTATAATAAAATGAATTATATAGTTCTTTAAAAAATATATATTTTTTTTGTAAAATAGCTTGCAACTTGTTTTATCATACAATATTCATTGTCTTCCTCTCAACCACCACTCCTCCTTAAAGCTAAAATAAAAAGAAAAGGAAAAAATATACAAAAGAGACATATTATTAGCTAGTTATCTAAGAAGAGATTCCATGGGGTATAGCAAAATCAATTGGGGATGTATAATTTACAATTTTCTATTAAGAATGCAATTTATAATTGAAAAAATAAACATATATATCTATATATATATATATATATATATATATAAAGAACCTTATCTATATATATATATATATATATATATATATAAAGAACCTTATATAATAATTCACAAAATTATTTTGAACCATACTAAATATGATATGATCTCACATTAGAATTAAGTCATGGTGTTGAATTTAAGAAAATTTACTCTTCATACTAATTAAGTTTTTTGATTGGTAATACAGTTCGTATTTTTTTTTGTTTAAGACTGTTTGTCCAATTTTGGTAGTTGCCTGCAATTACTGTTTTCAAGTAAATAAAAAGATTAAAATGGTCACATCTATCAGATTGTAGGATTTTTATCATGTTATTTGATTAATGTGACCAGCTTAAATTTTGGCTTCTTGATTAAAAGCTGGACTATTCTTAGATTGCTGCATACTTTTTGTAAAAATAACTAAAGAAAGAATCGCTTCTGAAATTATTTTTCAATAACAAAAATTATATCATTAAATTGCAATTGCTGTATTTTATAAACCAATACATGTTTAATAACATGTATTTTATAAACCAGCATGTTACAAACTCTAAAATATCATTCATACACAACAAGACCACCACATTTTCACCCAACAAGCACTAATTCTCAAAAACTATAAGTTGACTCTGTTTTATCTCACACTAATTCTTCACATCAGCTGGTTGTAAAACTGATGATTACATCATCAAACACAAGAAACGAGTTCCAAGCTCACTCTTCACAATGTGTAAACGTGACAATAATTTTTAAATGAACCCACAACGCACTACCGATTCGTGGACAAAACCCAACCACTTCAGTTCAGGATAGACAATAAAGGAAATAAAGTGCTTAGGAGTAGATGCCACCCAACACCAGTCATCCATTATCAAGCACAAGCTGTATTCAGTGACTCGTTGTTCAAGTCAAATTAGAAAAAGGAACAACATGCAGAGCAGTTGGCAGAGCCTTGAATCCGTTACCTACTGGTAGTAAGGGAAGAGCTCGGGATAAACTCCAGCTCGCTGACCTACTCTACATCACACTGAATGATACCAGGAGCTACTACTGTGGAACATATGCTACAGTAGATTCATAGCATAGAATGAACATATCACACCCAGATGACTAATACCACTCTCAGGACTACATCTGAGTAGGGAACAGATTAAGATTGCCAAGTTAGGAGCAAAACCTGTTGCATTCATGTCACTTGACCGAGTAATTTCACACAGTGAGCTCCTGTTTGAGCACTGGTGCGTGTCCTCCATGCAACGTCAGTCGAAGATGTGTCTCGATTCAGATCTATGTGGTGGGTGGTTATACTCAACCCCACCAATCAGAAAATCCTGGATTGGAGTGTTCCATACTGAAAGAAGCGCCAAGTCGTTGTGCCGCTGAGATGAAAGCGGAGATTACGAGGATTTGATGTCATTGGACAGGAAGGAGGGTATGGGTTTCAAATCATCAGCCCGAAGCCACCCGGCTTCTCTCTTCTCCTGTTCCTTGCTCTTCGCAATCGCCTCTTTCCTGTGCACCTCCTTCATGTAACGGTATCCCTTATCGGTGCCGTATAGCCAGTCGCAGTACGTGAAAACAGAGGCGAAGTTGCTTGAACACTTAGCGCCGACGAAGTGGTGATAGTCGTGATACTCTGCCCCTCCGTAGAAGGGAATCAAGCGCGTGGGGTTCCAAGGGAAATCGTATCCGCTGTGAGTTTCGAGAGCCTCCAACTGCCTCATTGCAATCCAAAGCCAGAAGGTGATGATATGGCCAGGCGCCATCGCTGGACCCGCGAAGGTAGGAACCCCTAAAATCACAACCTCCGCCCAATGTGCATAAGGGGCGGCGAAGCTCATCGGCGCGGAGAACTCATGGTGCACAGAATGAATGGCATCGTACCACCAACCATTGTGCAACCAGCGATGCAACCAATAGTTCCCGAAATCCTCAACTATGGTATACACAGTAAGCTGCATCAACACCTCACTGACAGCCGGCAGGGGCAGACCGAACCGAACCCCTATCAACCTCACGGCAGGGAAGGAACAGAGCTGCAACGGGCCAACCACGGTGAAAAACGTCCACATAACCACCTTGTAACACCGCCATGTCGCGGATGGCTCGTTATGCACCCCGGCCTGCACTTTGTACTTCTCGGCGCTCTTCACCTTCAACACGTCCAGCAGCACATAGGGCAAGGGCACGACCGAGAAAATGACAAAGAGGAAGATGATGTTCATGCAATACAATGTGTAGTCACTCACATTGTGCGTCTTGCTCCACCACAGCTCTTCCCAGAGCGTCAACGATCGACCCAGGGCCTCCTCCGCCTCGGGGAGGCTGGCAAACGGAATCATGGCTCTCGAATTCTGCACCCTCCCGGCGACCGAATTAACTACCCACCACCCGCGGCCTCTCAAGTCACGCTCCCAAATATCGCGATTCAATACAATGGCCGGATCTGACCACTAAAATGCAGCGTCTCGGGAACGCCGCGACAGCGCAGGAGCTGCAAAGCTGGTGATCCTCCTCTCCAGATGTGCCGTCTTCCTCTCGTGGCCCGCTTCTCGGAGCTTCCCCTCTCTCAATTGTCCCTCCGCATCGGACGCTTCTTTTCGCATCCCCTCCTCCTTCCCTTTGCTTTCATCCTCAAATTGTACGCGACATTCGTTCCTTTATTCGCTCGCTCGGGACTCTTCTCGTCCTTCGACGTCCTTCTCATCCTTTGTCATTCTCTTCTTCGGCTCGGCAGTCAATTGCACGGTAAAAGATTTTTTGTTCTGAATGATTCTCAACCAACGAAGGGAAAAGTGACGACGCCCTTTGTACACTATGCACATTTCATTATTTCTTTATTTGTATGTATTTCTTTATTTGTATGTATTTCTTCGTTTATTTTCACATTCTTCTCTTCTATTCTGAATGAGTGGTCGTTATGGAATTGTTTGGAGGCACGTCATCCACTGACGGAAGCTAGAGTTTAATGTTGAGGTTATTCTCGGATCTATGTTAAGTCATTGTTATTCTACGCCTCAAGTATGAAGTATCATTGTTGGTGCAAGAGAATTAACACAAACAAGAGAACAAAATGTTCGAATGAAATTGCCATTGCAAGAGGAGTGTTCCATGTTGTTTCTTTGGCGTGAGGGGGCTTCTTCGTCCCGACGCGAGGCACCGCCATGGAAGCACAAGAGCTGCTGCTGCCTCCGCTCTCATCCATCTCGAATAGCTCCCTGGTGCGCTGCTGCTTCCTTCCCCTTGTGGCGATGGATCTGCACTCGACGCTGACTGTGCCTGGGTGGCACAACTTCATCCCCCATGCTCGGCCTCCTCCACCCTTCCTACCAGCTCCAGATCTCCGGCATTATTAACAGCCATTCCTATATTCTCGCCTCGTCCACGAAGCCTCGTCGATCTGACCCAGGAAACAGCGCTCCTTTATAGAAAAATATGCGTCGTCTTATCGTTGTCAGCACCGAGCCCAGGAGAGACTCCCCCTGCCCCTGAGAGTGTAAGTAAAAGTGTGTCTGTCTCCAAACAGGCACCCAGGCACAGTCAGCGTCGAGTGCAGATCCATCGCCACAAGGGGAAGGAAGCAGCAGCGCACCAGGGAATTGTTTGGAGGCGTTTGTGTGTATATTTGTGTGTAAGTGTGTGTGTGTGCAATCTTCGGCCATTGAGCTGCAGGCGATCTTCGACCGGCAACTCGTGAACCCTATCTTTGCGAATGAAGCTTTGAATGCTTGTAGAATGGCGTGGGTCTGTGCGATGCTGGCTGTGTGTGTCTATTCCAGGACCAGATCCAAGCAGAGTTTTGACGTCGGAAGGGAAGGGGAAGGAAGGGTGGCATTTTGGCTAATCAACGTCGACAATTATTACCGAAGCTTGGTCATCACATATTTTGTGGGAAAAAAGGTACTTACCGCAAAAAGTAACTTTGATAATGAGAAGATATCTGTTTAAGATTAACAGAAAAATATTAAAAATTAATATGCAACTTGGGTGTTTACTGTTGCAGGAATTGAAATGTGTAAAACATACACATATTGAAATGTAGCATATGCTATAAAATATTGTGAGAAGAAATCATGAAATATGGTTCAAATATCAAAAACTCAAGATCATGATGGAAAATTATAATGCAACTCTCATAGAAACGAAATCTAATGGAAATAATTCCATCTCATTTTTATTTTTTTATTTTTATTTATTTTGGCATGAAAATTAATTTGTGTGGCTCTCAAATGGCTTCAAGCTATAGTTGATACAATATTTAACATAGTGCAATATTTGTTTGATATATATATATATATATATATATATATGTATATATTTGTGAAGTAATAGATTTTTATTAGACAAAACAAAAATTTGTTTGCTTGTGTGCCATTAACAGCAGTATTCATTGAGATCACTCAACAATTGGTGAGATTGAACTTTTACATTTATTTATTTTTTGTACAGAAGTGTTAAAATTCATGGATAATGCAAGAAAATAAATGCAACATTACATGTTAAGTGAACATCTTATGGTTTCATAGTCCATGCATTTGTTACAAAATTTAATATATTGATTTATTATAATTTAATATGTTTGAAAAACTAAACAAAAACAGATTATCAAATAAAGTATATAATTTTGAGATGGATGTTGATGGTTTTCAAATGTCCAATGAAGTACATGATGGTTTTGTATGCAAGTAATATTTAAATCATTTCTCTACTTACAAAAAATTAAGAATAATGAAAACTAAAATTGTGCATATAGATCATGAATTTTGATATTGCCTTGAACTTTTAAAAAGAAATTAAAAACCTAATATAATTACTAAAAACTTAGAATTTAAGACAATGCTTATTTTTATATATATATATATATATATATATATATGTAGGAAAAATATGTATTGTTGGGTAGTGCAATCTTTGGCACATCTAATCATTCTCTTATTCATTCATGCTCCTTAATTCCTTTATTTCTCAGTTCTCTTATTTCCATGTTCATTGATTTTTATTTTTTTTGAATTCACTACATTTTGTTCTTCACAACCAATCAAAAAACTTCCTTTGTATCTTAGCATTATATCCAAGTTCATATATATAATAGTTATACATATATATATATATATATATATATATATATATTTATATATATATACACACACTAGAAGTAACTCATTTAGCTACTAAATCATTTGTTGTTACTAAAGTATTTTACAATACACAACATTGGTTATGGATTTTCAAAAATAACTATTTAAACTTATATATTCATTTTATTTTTATTTTTTATAGTCTTCAAAATAGATATTCTACATATTCATAAAAAATAAAATAAGAAATAAATAATTATTAGTCATTCTATTAATATCACATTTAAAAAAGAAAGCTTCATATTTTTATTCTTCTAATAAATTATTTTTCTATAATAGAAGGTTCAAATTATTCAACATACATACATACATGTATAATATACATAATAGGATTATTTATGCAATTGGTTCTTGAGCTCCATGTCTTCAAAGAACATAATTTACATACTTTCCTTGTCTTCTCAAAGTTCTTAGTATTTTAAAGACTCTCTTGTAGATTCAACTGTAGTGTGGATATCCACAACTTACAACAATTTGGCATTGAGAGTTAAAAAATCTGACAAAGAATTAAAACTATTCATTATTAGTACAACTTTAGAATGATATTATGAATAATGCTTGTATTATGAGTACTAAAAAAACTAAGAATATAAGGAACATTGGAAATACCAAGAATTCAAGGAATGTTAAGAATATTGACTTTTTATAGTACTCATATTTGATTTTACATAGTACCAATTACAAATTTTAAATGGTGTTAACAACCTCAATTAAGTAGAGGTTTTTGTAGACAAATAGATGAATAAACATTATATCTATATATATATATAAATATATATAGATATCATTATTGCGGATATGCATATTTACTATAATATTTTCTTATATGATTAAGTAGAAGTAAGTATAAGTAGATTTATTTCATGATATGTTATAGAGAAGCTTCTTAAAAGCTATATAGGCATTGTTTTGGCTATACATGTATTTGTAGTTGTTTAATAGATTAGAAACTTGGTCAACAAATTAACCACATATTGGTAGCTTGTAGAAGAAGCTAACTATGTGGCGTACATGGAAAAAACTTATCTTGCGAATTAAGATATAAGTCTTACAAAGTCAATATGTTTTGGGGTCCAATAGAACATTGCCACATAACTCCTAGTTAAGAGTATATATTGAGGGAAGAGTGAAGCCTTCTTTACTCTTATCAACACCTTTCTAGTCTTTAGTCTTTAGTCTTGTTTCAAGACTTTCTAGTCTTCTTGTCTTTGACAATAGCCATTTTAGTTTAATACTATATCATCTTTGAGTGATTTTTTAGTCTTTTCAAGTAACATAAGAGTATATTGACATTTTAGTTCTATAAAGTTTATATCCTTGATAGTTTAACAATAGTCATAATTTATTATTTTTGTCTTATTTTAAAAATAAATAGATTATCTTATTTCTATTTTCATTTTTTAAAAATTATAAATTATCCACCTTCAAAAAAATTATTTATTTTTTTGATACTGATTTTTTTCATAAAAGAAGCGGATTACCCTTCTTTTTAAAAAATTTCATTTGATATTAGAGATTATGGATTATTTTCTTTTAATTTGACTTGTGAATTTATCAAATTGTTTGAAATAGAAAGAAAAATTATGAATACTAGACTTGGAAAAAGTAAGAATAGATTTGCAACTATTGCATATCTTTATGAATTTGTTAACACCTTTAGGATAGAAATTTCACACATTACCAATGCTAATTAAATAAATACTAATCATATGTCTATGGAAGAAGTTCAAAGTCTACATCAAAAATTTGTGAAATTGAAAGAAGTAAGTAGATCGACCACACAATCAAATCCAAGAAGTTTTCTTTTCACAAGTATAATAGGGACAAGGATTAGTATGTCCAAGAAATTTGATGGAACAAAATCAATATTTTCAAGGTTTTCTACAACAAATCAAGCTCTACTTGAGATTGCATTCTTTCCAATATCTTAATGGATTTACTCAAATTAGATTCATAAGTCCACTTTTATTTGAAAGTGCTCTTTCTTGGTTTGCATCTTTGATGAAAAATTATTCATGACTCTTTTATGGTTTGAATTCATCCCTAAAAGTGTTTACAATCACATTTGGAGAAAGTAATTGCAAAAAGAATAGTAGAGACTAAACTATTATCTTTATGACAAAGATCATGGTTAATCACGATATATATTAGAAAATTCCAAAACCTTACTTAAGATATGGATTAGAATGACTGTCACGGACATATTCATGTAAACTAGTAATTACACATACAAATAGGTAGAAGTATATAAAAGTAGGTGAAAGTAAGTTAATTCTATAGTATTTAATATGAAAGCTTCTTAAAAGATTCATAGATGCTGCTTTGACTTCATAGGTGTCTTTAATTGACTTTTTGGATTAGAAACGTGGTCAACAAGTTGGCCATGTGCCACACATATTGTTAGCTTGAAGATCAAGCTAACTACATAGCCCTTACGTAGAAAAACTTGCCTTGTAAGT